AACCCTTCGAGGGAACCAGCCCTCATCTGTGCAGGGGGCCAGCAGGACCAGAAAGGCCTCAGTGAAAGGGCTCAAAGAGCCGTCGTTTTCATGCTGAGACATCTCAAAGGCAAACGGCATTTATTTATTATTTATTTACAGTCAGGATCTCACTGTTCAGCCCTGGCTGGCCTGGAGCTCCCTAGGGAGACCAGGTTGACCTCTAGTTCACAGGGATCTTGCCTGCTTCTGCCTCCATAAACCACCACACCCAGCAGATTTACAGTTAAAACAAAACAAATTGAAACAAACAAACAAACAAAAAAGATTAAAAGTCTTGCACATAAAAGAAAACTGACCCTCTTGTTGTGGAAGAGTTAGCTCAGACGTTAAGTGTATTTATTGCTCTTGCAGAGGACATGAGTTAAAGTCCCAGAACCAACTTGGTGACTCACAACCATCTGTAACTCTAGTCCCAGGGGATCTGTTGGCCTCTTCGGCCACCAGGCACACATACGGTGCGTATACATGCATGTAGACAAAACACTCATGCACATAAAATGAAAACGACCCTCCCCCCACCAAATAAAAATGGCCAGAGCTCATTCTCAGTGCACATTGGTTTGGCTCGCCCTACTCATGGCCGTGAGGTCTGCAGAGGACTTCAAAAAACGCTGCCCCACCCCTGGGTTGTCTGATGACTAGAATCCAAGGGCAGAAAGGAGATGACAAAAGCTTTATCCAGGGGCCTCTTGTCTTCTAGGTAGGAGAGTTCTTGAAGTGGGGAGGTACCTGAAGTGTTCTGGTTTCAGATTGCCTCGTCAGAGCTTGGAGCTGTGCGGCTGCACAGCCACGGGTAAGGTCACAGACTAGGCCCCAGAGAAATCGTAAGACCTTGACTTTTGTGGGAGAGATCTTTCATCTTATTTAGTGACTGTGGGAGTCAGTCTCACTATGTGTGTGCTAGCTGGATTCCGTCTGCCAGGTTGCCGCCTCTGGGCTAGGCACTGAAGAACATGACAAATCTGGGTCCCAGCTGATCCGAAGGGAGTCACTATGGCCTATGAGGTATCCGTGCATGGGACGAGCCTGATCTGACTTTGGTCTCTGCTGGCTGCCCTCCCCTAGGTCAGGTGCTAAAAGACTAGTCTCTAGACAGACCCTTCCTAGTGGCTTTGTAAATTCGGTCTATCTGTGGCACCAGCACCCCCTTGTGGACAACAAGGGAAGGGCCTCATACTTAAAACACAAGTTGACACCTACAAATCTGAGTGACAGCTCAGTCTCAGGAGCTGCAGTAATGTGTCATTCCTAGTGAAACAGAAGCAATATCCTCAGTAAGCAAAGCCTTGGAGGGATAACAATGATGAGGGAGGGGGCAAGGAAGGTGAGTTGGGCTTTGCCATAACGCTTTTCTCTGGCAGTCTGGTTGTTCAAGCCTGTGGACAGACCTGGAGGCATCTGGCCTGTTACCACCTCCAGAGAGGCTCTCAAAGCCCAGAGTGCACAAGCCACCAGTCATTTATCTGGAAACTTACAGTGCTCTGCCTTCAGGTCTCCTGAGAAATCTGGTAGGTGGTTGTTCAGTCAGTGTTTGTGTTTGTGGCTGAGTTTAATTCCACTTTCCAGGACGGTGCTCATTTATGGGGTTTAAAGTCTGTTGTGCCGTGTGCTCTGGGAGCCGCCTTTTTGAGTTATCTCCCCCTTATCTTAAGAAAAATCACTTCCCATCCTTTATTTTCAGAAAAAGACGAGGTTCACTTCTACTGTTTCTGAAGTGTACAGGACATTCTAACAAGTGTTGCTTGTTTGTTTGGTTGGTTTTGTTTTGCTTTTTTCACTTCACACGCTTTGAGAAAACCCCTCTGGTCTCGGCATGAGCTCTGAGCCCTAATCTTTCTTTTTTCTTTTTGGTTTTTCGAGACAGGGTTTCTCTGTATTTTGGAGGCTGTCCTGGAACTTGCTCTGTAGACCAGGCTGGCCTCGAACTCACAGAGATCCGCCTGCCTCTGCCTCCCGAGTGCTGGGATTAAAGGCGTGTGCCACCAACGCCCGGCTTGAGCCCTGCTCTTTCATCAGCATTGCTCGTCCCCTTGCAGTTGTGTGCAGGTCCGTGTGCTTTGTCTCCAGAGTGAACTTCTTAAGTCACACAGTCTGTGATGTTTTCATGATGCTTCCTGGAGGCCAGGCGTCAGCCCTGCATGTGTGCTGGCCTTGGATGCTCAACTCTCGTTGGTGCCTTGAATCCTCATGTCCACTGCAAGTGTGTGTGTGTGTGTGTAATTCCTTCCTTTCTCTCTCTCTCTCTCTCTCTCTCTCTCTCTCTCTCTCTCTCTCTCTCTCTCTCTCTCTCTCTCCCTGTCTCTCTTTCTTTCTTTCTTTCTTTCTTTCTTTCTTTCTTTCTTTCTTTCTTTCTTTCTTTCTTTCTTTCTTGTGACAGGATTTGTGTAGCCCTGGCTGTCCTGGAACTCGCTGGGAAGACCAGGATAGCCTCAAACTCAGAGATTCACCTACCAAGTGCTGGGATTGAAAGTGTGCACCACCAGGCGGATCTCTGTAAATTCGAGACCAGCCTGGACTACCAATCGAGTTCCAGGACAGCCTCCAAAGCCACAGAGAAATCCTGTCTCGAAAAAAAAAAAAAGAAAGTGTGCACTACCACTGCTTGGCTTTTTTTTTAGCTTATCTTTATTTATGTGCATGTATATGTCTGCATGCATATATGTATGTATGTATGTATTTTGTATGTGTTCCATATGTGCAGTACCTCTAGAGGCCAGAAGAGGGCACTGGACCCCCAGGAACAGTTGTGAGTCACCTGATTTTGGTGCAAGTGACTGAACCAGATCCTTCGTTAAAGCAGCAAGCGCTCTTAACTGCTGAGCCATCTCTCCAGCCCTCTCGACAGCATCTTTGCCATCGTCCATCCCACAGCCCCAGAGTGAAAACTACATGGCCTAATATGAGGCTGTGGGATGCTTGCTTCATGAGAAGACGTTAGGAACTCCACTGCTAAGTTAATGCAGTTATTGTTTTGTTGCTACCCTTGTGCACTCAAGAATGTTTCAGGTCTCTAAAAAGCATTTTGAAACACAAAAACAAGCCTTGTGTAGTAGCACACACCTTTAATCACCACACTCGAGGGGCAGAGGCAGGCAAAACCCCATGGGTTTGAAGCCAGCTTGGGTCTACGTTGTGAGTTCCAGGACAGTCAAAGCTAAATAATAAAGGCCCTGACTCAAAACTAAAACAAAACACAAAAACAAACAAACAAAAAAGAAATACAAAGGTGCAGACAAAACCCCTTATACATATTTTTTAAGAAAGACGGCAAGAACATTCGCTAGTAGAATTGGGAGATTCTAGTCATCACCTTGGTCAGAAGTCTGAGGTTTTCCAGGTGTTAAACTGCTAAGAGCTTCTTTGGGGCAGTGGGGAGCTTCCCCGGCAGCTCTGTGGACTGAGAGTTATGCAGAATGTTGCACTTGCTTTGTTGGTTTTTGTCTCTCTCTAAACACAGATTGCTCTGAAAGAAAGCCATGACGCTACCGGATGGTCCATGAACTAGAGCCACTGGCAGATACAGCACCAGTACTTCTGAGCAGCAGATGGGAGGAGAGGGGAACTCACCTCACAATGGGTCCTGTAGAGGCGAACTCCAAGAATGGTTATGAGTGCTCACACAAGGCTGTAGAGACTCCCAGATGTCAACAGACCTAAGAAAACCAGTACCCTGCGTATCTCCAGAAAGAGCAGATGTCAAGGGAAATGGGACAGAAGAGAACGTGTAGCATCCATGCAGCCATCACACTGCGGTGGCTTCAGCGTGAAAGTCATGGGTCAAAAACTCAATTCTATTTGGACACGTGACCCATCGGAAAATTTTATGATCTAATTAAATCCTGAGGGTAGGGCTCTTCAAGAGACCTGAACTGGAGCGTGTGGCGTCTTACCATGTGGTACCTTACACCCGAGTGACAGCCAAGGCAGCCCTCACACATTGGTGAGCACATACTCACACAGATGTCCCTGTTTTCTCTTCTTCAGAACCCAGACTCAGTCTTTTTGTTACAGCAGTAGTAAATGTAAGTTGTAGACATCGGTAAGGAGCGTCTTAACTGGGACTTGTCCGATGACCAGTTTTTTTTTTTTTTTTTTGGTTTTTACGAGACAGGGTTTCTCTGTATTGTTTTGGAGGCTATCGGTCCAGCCCAGCCTCGAACTCACAGAGATCCGCCTGCCTCTGCCTCCCGAGTGCTGGGATTAAAGGCATGCGCCACCACCGCCCAGCCGACCAGTTTTAATCTTACTGTTTACAACTTAGGTCAGAAAGAAACTGGGGAATCATCTTCCTTTGAAAGAGAAGGCAATAACAGGGAAAATGAATTTCTATGGTAATATCAAAATAGTTGTTAGGCTTCGTGCCCTACACGCCCATCATTCCTAGGAGACTGCTCTCCTAGCTGGCTCGTCCAAGCCTGGTGAGGAACAGGACCTGGCAATCGTCTGTGTTAAGGTGATAACTGGCTATCCCATCTGCCAGGTCCTACCTCACCAGCCTTTGCCAAGCATTTGAAGACTGAGATTCAAATGATAGACACAGAGAGGGTCAGACATTATATGGGAACTTCTAGGAACCTGAGGCAGAAGCCACCTGGCTGAGGCTGGGCATCCTTGGAGACACCCCAGAATCTAGAGATGGCACTGGATTTCCGGCACCCACCCTATGAGGCACTCATAGCCAAGACGATGAGAATTTGGCAAAAGTCAGGGGTTGTCATGGAAGGTCAGTCATAGCATGATTGACTCAGCCATCTCATAAAGAGACTGGGCTATATTCAAGGTTCAAAGGGGGAAATCAACAATTCCCGGAATTGTGAAGGCATAGACATGGTTTCTCTTCTGCTTATGATTTGTATTTTATACGGTTACCAACTATTGCTAACAGAGTTCTGTCTCAGGACAGGTGTATTCCAGTCTGAAGACCACCAGTCTAGGAATAAGTCAACAAAGGCCAGACATTTTAGGTCAAGGTGAGTTTATTGTCCAAATAGCATAACCTAATTGCATTCAAAACCACTTACAACTCCATCCTCAAATCCGACTTCAAACTGGTCAGAACATGTTATCCTTTTAAGATCACGTCAAAACTTAACAGCTGACTATGTGACATCACTGTCATAGTCAATACAATGTGTTTCCCCCCGGATTTCCTAAAGACCTCTTTTGTTGTTGTTCACCCTGATCATGCTACTTTAGCATCTTCTAGTATCCCAACTCTAAAAACCACCCACACCTGTTATAGAGTACACGGTGAGAGAATAACATTGATTTTATATGGTATCACACTCTTAAAGCAAATTAAAAAAGAAAAAGAAAGAGAGAAAACAATCCGAGACAAGAGATCGTAAATGATAGATCTGAGGTACACGGCAGAAGGATAATAATGGAGACAATTCAATGGCCTGGTGACTTGCTGGGGACATACAAGATGATCAGCATGAAAATGACAGCCAATGAAACTTAGGAGAACTGTTTAAGGTTTTCTTTTTTTTTTTTTCTTCCTTTTTTTGTCAAAGATAGGCACCTGTTGAAATCAAGTGGCTACTGTAACGGCTACGGTCAGTAAGGCACTTCTCCCCCACAAGTGGGCTGCAGGCAGTGATGGGCCTGCAACTCCATCAAGTGTATGTGTTGATGGCTTCTTCAAACTGGAGCCAAGAATGGGTCTGATGGCCCAGCCAAGTTTAAATGCAGAATGGCACAGGTTCTGGCTCACGCGCCTCTTCTGTTTAGACTCTAGAGTCATCAAAGGCCACGCGGGGTACAGGAGTCACAACACCTCCTGGGTCTCCCTACCTGATTTCATACAAAGGGATGAGAGAGCTGCAGCTGTTGACAACCACCCAGAGTCTGCACCCATGAAAGCGTGTGTGCAACGTGTACCTATGGAGGGCCTTGCTGACTTAAGGGGACTTCACTGACTTGGTATTCATTTCCCTTTTAAAGCTATTCCCAAGGTTTGACTGTCTAAGATAGGCAAAGAGGATCCTTTGGGCTTAAAAGTCAACTGGCTTGCTTAGGCTTCTTACTGCTACCTCCAGTTTCCACGCCACCAGTATACCCTCTGGAACCAGAAAATCAGTATTTACAGGACATAAGGTACAAGTGTGATCCTCCCAGTCCTGTCCCCATAGCCCACCCACATAGAGAAAGCTCACCTGCCCTCTTTGTGAAAGCCATTCAATCTTAGTCTTGGTCCTACAGTTCTCAAGGCACAGATTGGTAGGTCCCCAAAGAACTAGACTATAAGAAAACTATTAAGCTCCCTCTGAGGGGTCACTTATCCTGCTAGCAACAGGAGGGGATCCCAGACAGCTACATATACCCCCCAGCCTGCGTAGCTGCTAGGAGTCTGTCTTGGTAGGCACATACCTTATGCTAGCTGCCTCCAAGATGTGCCCTGCTCTTCTGTGGCGTCCTGGGGACGGTTCAAACCGAAGCAACTTCTAAACGCTATCCCTTCTAGAAGGAGCTAGCTACTCCGCACAGGTGGATGGTCAGCCTTTGTCCTCTCACAGGCTGCCTGGCTATTAGGGGACTGTTAGGAATCTCCTAATGCTTAGCATATTATTTTTGGCATACTTGGGTTTCCTTCCCCCTACGATTTGGTCAAAACAGGGAAGGACCAAAATTTGGCAGGCGTGGGGAACAACCTAGCCCCCACAGATGGAGAAAGAACAAACAATGATGACAAAAGAAAACAAAAACAAAAACAAGAGCTCATTAACAAAGGCAGAAAAAGACCAGAGTCTGCAATCCCTTTTGTAGGATGTGAAGGGGATGGGGGGGGGGAGGGGACAAGCTGAAATCCACGGGGTGACTTATACCCCTCTGGGACAAAAATACTACCAAGGAGATCCAAATCTAAGCAGAGGGTATCGGCCACCAAAGAATCCAGGCTCCCTTCCCTTGCATAAGCAAAGAGCAGGCGTAGCCACCACAGTGCACACCTCATCACACAGGCTCAGAGGATGGCAGACAGAAGGTGTCTCCTCTCTCCACCCCAGGTCAGAGGACTGGAGAGGCAGGCAGCAGCCTTCTTCTTCCGTGTTCCTGTTAACCTCCAAGGTCTCATGTGCCTTGTGTGACTCACCAGGCACCCCAGTTGCCCAAGAACTAAAGAGACCTTGTCTGCCAGGTTCTTAAAGATCAGGGGAGTGGGCTGTGCAGTGTGGATTGGCACCGGCTAACGGCAGGCTTCTCCTTTTCCCTCTCTACTTCCCGAACTCATCACCCACGGTTCCACCATAAACTCCCTAGAATTTTAGGGTCATGCTAACTTTTACTCCGAGTCCTGATCCTTCCTAAATACACTCGAGACCAGAGGAATGGCCTCTCACTCCCGTTCAACATGCATCCCAAACTCATTCAACCTGTGCTTCCTATGTAGCCCACTCAATGGGATTCAAACCCTGAAGCCACTCAATGCCACCCACAGACACCCTGTCCCTTACACAGCACTTGCCTGCCACGGCGGAGGACGGGAGTGCTGCAGACTCAGTCCTAGGAAGACTTTGAAGACCGTCCTAAGTTGGGGTGTCGGTGTCAAGAAGTAAACTGGTCAACTTTCATGGTGAAGGGGCCCTAGAAAGAAGTCCCGTTTCTGACGGGATGTAAGATGTGGGTGTGTCTCCTAACAATCAGCCGAAATTCTTGATTGTTGATTCTGGTGACTGCATGCAAATCAGGCTTGGCTACTTCACTGCCTGTGTTTGCTGAGCATCTGCCTTGTTCAAAGGAGGCCTCCCTTCAGCGTGTTCTTTTACCATGAGCAGGGAGCCTGAGTCAAAGGGGAGCCTGGTGACCTTTGAGACAGGAAAGATCCCTGGACCTGAGACCCTGGGGTCAGATCCCTTCTGCTTTCCACCTAGGAGGATGCCGAGCTTCTGCCTGCCCTCTGCTCTGTGCCTCCTGGTAGCGGCCTTCCAAACAGAAACTGTGTAGCTATGAGGTATCATGAAAACAAAAACGTACATTGTTATCATTATTGATTTTGTCCAGTAAACCTGAGGTAAATAATACTCTCTTTGAAGAATGTGATCAGAGGAGGGAAGAAAAAAAGAACCATGAAAGAAAAGGAACCAAAAAAGATGAAGTATAACTCATCAATATGCTACCAGAAGAAAACGAACCAAGGAAAAGCTTTCCAGTACAAAGAACTCATCTCAACCACCTACTTCGGGACTTGAAATTTAAGCAGTAAAATAATATATTATAACAATGTTTCTAAAATAGCAGCACACCGTGAAACATTACAGCTAGGTACTGTTAATGTGAATAGGGATGAATGATCTCAGCTTAGCAGCGAAAAATAATAATAAAAAACAGAACAAAAGAAAATAAGAGATCCTAGATGTTTCTCTGTCTTCAACCCTCACACAATGACACAAGGCAGAACCTGTGTGTGAAATTAATTCTTCGAACCATCCCCGTTCTGATCTTTTCTCTTAAAAAAAAAAAGGCAAATATTTTAACAAATAGCTTCATTATCTGTCAATTAACAGCTGTGGCTCCAACTTCTGTTTACTGACTGCCTCAAAGAAGTGGGAGAGGAAAAATTCAAGTACAATGAATACAACTTTGCTGTAAAATTAACAAACAAACAAATGGGGTAAAAAACCAAAAACGGAAAAGGGAGCAAAATGCCGCGCCCTGATGTTTCTTTCCACGTCCAAAGGAGAAAACTACAGACGGAATTCAATCCTTCTATGCCATCAGAATGGTTTAGGACCTTTGTCTTTAGGCTGGGATAGGAATGTCAGTGGATGGATCTGTTAGTCCTTGTAGGGACACCAGAGTTGGGTACCAGAACATCGGACTCCAGAAATGAACAGTAACAGGAAGGGTTGGGAAGGAGAGGGGGCAAAGCAGGAAGGAGTACTCAACATGATTGCATAAACCATCCCATCTAGGTCCCCACCCCCTCCCACCCCACTGGAACAATTTTTCAAAGTGCTTTTCTAATGGAATGGTTTATAGCAATGTCAAACTGTGGACCAGAAATGCCAATCAGCACCAAAGATTAAGTTGTTGTTTCCTAATAAGGGATTAAAGATCACCTTGCCCTCTTCTGTTACATAAAAAAGCTTTGTTTCAGATTCCATCTACCCCCATTTAGATGGGTTTGGTCAGGGCCCATAGCTAATTCCCTCCATTAGATAACAGTAGGATACATCCACAATGAACCATGTTTAGAGGAAGAAGCACAAACTCACCAAATATGAGACTTAGAAGCCAATCACCTATGTCCTACTGGCAAAAGACACATCCCTTAGATAGCAGCTACTGTAGACAGCGAGAGTATGCAATGTAGAGACCCCACCATGCTAGGTCTGGGTAACACTCGGTGAGGCACCAAGGCGCTTCTTACATCCAAAATGGTTCAGTCATGTGGACAGGTGGTTCTGTGCAACCTCCCCAGCCTGTCCCTTCTTGCTTTTGATCCCTTCTTGGGTTTGCCACTTTGCAATCTAATCATGCCTTCCTGGCATCCACGGCTCCTTGCAATTCTACTAAAAGGGGCATATGGACTAGTTCACAAGCACAAAAGACAGTGTCCACAAATTTGTTCCCATATTGCAGGTGTACATAATCTCAAACTAGTCTGCACGTTCTCCTGTAAGCATCTCACCATGACTTTTACATCGTCAAACAACAACTGTTCTCACAAACCAGGGATCCCCTCATGCTGTACTTTGAACAGGTACCACATGGGTTTCAACCATAGGGCCTTTTCCTCTCACTTCTAAAAGACCTTTAAATATGATCTAGGTGGGGGCAGATTTTTTTGTTTAAAGTTTCACCCTAAAACACAAAGAACAAAACATGACTATAGAGAGAAGGAGCGAGCAGATGAATATGCCTCTCTCTTGCGGGCCTGAACGGCATCCTCCTCACAGGTCAACATCCCGAACATCTGTGGGGGTGGTGGCTTGGTCCAGATCTTCCACAGACTTGGATCCATTGTGCTGCTCTTGACGAAACTGCTGCAGGCTGTTGAGCAGCACCGCTTCAATTTGCTCCTGGCAGGCTTTGAGACAATCCTAGAGGTGGGGGGAGGTCCAGACCGCAGCTATTAGCAAATACACTGGCACAAAACATCTCCCAGAGACAGCCGCTTTCAGGCTCACATCACCGCACACTTAGCATGAAGGAAAAGGAGAGACACTCTCAGGTGCCACAGAAGCTCAGTACATAAAGTGGGGTCCGTGGACCGGCAGCCAGCTAGAAGTCCATCCCAGATGGAGCCAATAGGAACTCACATTTCAGCTGAAGCCCAGGCACTTCCTATTCTAAAACCTATTGACCAGAAGGTGATCCAGCAAAACAAAAAACAAAACAAACAAACAAGAGCCTTGCCAGGACATCAAGGGGTCAATCGTAGGTTTTCTGTCTCAGAAAGATAGGAGGTGGCACAGAGGGATTTGGTTCCTAAAAGGTGTCATACTGTTAGCCAAGTCAGCAGCCAATGAATAGGTAGCAAGGGGGTTGCTTAATTGTATAAAGTGTCCGAAACTAAAAATCCCAGTGTTTTCTGCCCATTTACCAGCCTTGAAGTTCTTTTTCACAAAAACACAATGCAGAATGTTTACAAACCTCAGGACACTCGATCTTGTCCAATTTGGGAATAAGCAAGAATTTGCACTGTTGCCTTTAATAGTCTATATTTGGTAGGGAAAATCCAGAGCGAGTTGCCCCAGGCAGAAGTGTCTATTAGCTGGGAGACATGGAATGCGAGGGCAAGTCACATTGTCACTGAGATGGAACAATGGATCAGGCTAGAAGAATGGGGGGGCAGGGGCAGGCTAAGGAAACTGCTCTTGGTAAGGATTTTTCACCTGAGCCTCCTGGGTCTGCCTCCCTATACTGCGAAATGGCCTATTGCATACAGAAACTGTGCTAAATTGACTCTCCCCCTGCCTGCCCACAGCGTAATACACATGGCCCCTCTGTTTATTTCACTGTACAGATATTACCACCTAGAGGTTGCTATTTTTCCAAGCACAAAGGCATTATATTTATTTTCCAAAGACCTAAAATAAAGTTGGCACAAACTACCAAGGAGCGAAGTTTCCATTCCCTCCCATCTCTCATCGGCTCCATGTTTCAAACTATAGCTTGAAGATGTGGAGTGACAGCAGACCAAGGGCAAAGGTCAGAGGGGAAATGTTCCCCCAAAACTAAGAATGATGGGAAAAGAAGGGTGGTGTTTGCTGCTCACTGCACACTGGCAGGGCGTGGCTCCATTAGTCATCTGTTTCCTCATCTACAAGAACTGAAGTGCTAAAGAGCAGATCAATAAGTGATCACTGTTCATTATCTGTGTGTGGCAAAGACTCTGTCTGTCTTGGAACCTGAAAGAATCCTTTGGGCTTTAATCAAGTGATCCTCCTGCCTCAGTGCCCTGAGTAGCCAGGACTACAGGTACACAAACATGCCAATCTTAGATTTCTTCAAAGGAAGGTATGGATTAGCAATTACTTAAGATAAGGCTGTGTCGCGGTCCTGGCCCTAAAGATAGTGACTCCAGGGTCATCAAGACGATTTCAACAATGCCAAATGAGGGGCTCGTATGCCAAGGAGCGAACATCTCTCATCCTGATCTGTGGGCAAGATCATCTGGGTTGGCACATCTACCCCACCGTCATGGCCAATGTACATTTCCATGGTACCCGTGTGTGAGTCAGGCCAGATGGTCCTCTGAGGAGATCAGCGGACAGAGAGCTTAAGGCTTGGCTTTAGGATCTGCAGTGTCCCTACCCTTCCTACTAGTAAGCCTTCTCTTCTAGCTGCCCAAGACTTTAATGGGACGGTTCTGAGAAACCCCTACAGGGAAGACAGGACATCTGGCAGTCATTTCTACCAGACTTTCAGAGCCAAGAGCTCAAAATGATGCAAGCTCGATGTGACATACGTTCCAGCCAGGGCAGGCTCACAGGCTCTTCTAAGCAACAGAGGAAGATTCAAAGATTTTTATAGAAAATGCACACTCTTCTTTCCAATGTTAATTTAAAGCCAAGTCATTACCGACTCCGGATGACCCCTGACCATTGGTGCCTCTCACTTAGAGAAGAGAACAAAAACTAATGTAGCTAGTTAGCTGAGGAAAAAATGGCTGGAACTCACCCCCTGCCGCTCACACAGTAGACTGCCCAACACATCTGAGGCCTCCACTTGACCATCCTTCAGTACCCACCTCCCCACAAGTTGTCTGCTATCAGTTCTACTTTTAACTTGGGCCCCTCGGTCCCGGCTCAAGCAGGTGGAAGTCTCAAAGGCATGAGCCTGTCCTGCATGAACCATGGAAAGCATACCACTTCCTGCAGGTGGACTTCCTGCAGGTGGAGAGAGCTGCACCGTTCCTTCCGACATCAATCAATCCCAGTATAGTAACACCCTCCCTCAACTTTGTAGGAGTCCTTCTAGGACCCAGCGGGGCAAAGGAACTCTGTCTGAGCTGGCAGCAAGCAAAGAAGACACCACTGCAGGGGAGTCGCGATCTACAACGAGCAGCATATAGGCTGCAGGGGTGAGGGTGGGTGGTGACTTAGAAGACCGAAGAGCCCTACTCCGGCCCAGTCACACAGCTTGTGTGGAGTTCAGAGCAATTCCAAATGGAAAGGACTTACAAATGTATCTTAATAAATGACCAGAGTACCAGCCACTCTTCAGAGACCAAACTGGAGCTGGGGATTGTGAGCGGCTTGTCCCTGAATGACAGCAGAAAATCCACACAGGTAGACAATCTGAGAACTTTCTCTAAGTTCTCTTCCTCTTTCAGGATGTAAAGAAGGGGCATAATGGACAGAGATTCTCTGGAGAGGAAGAGCCAGGCCAAGTGTGTGTATGAGTGTGTATGTCTGTGAGTGTCTCTCTGTGTGTGTGAATGTGTGTGTGTGTTTGTATGTGAGTGTCTCTGTGTGTGTGTAAAGTGTCTGTGAGTGTGCAAGTGTGTCTGTGTGTGTTAGTCTATATGTCTATGAGTCTCTCTCTGTGTGTGAATGTGTGTATGTCTCTGTATGTGTGTCTGTGTGTGTCACTGTGTGTGGCTGTGTATGTCTATGTATCTGTGTCTGTGTGTGTAGTGTATCTGTGTCTGTGTGTGTAGTGTATCTGTGTGTGTGTGTGTGTGCAGGGGTGATGACAACAGTGTCTCTAATGAAAAGATGCTGCATCCCTGTGACAAGCAGGACCTCCAGGACCTCTGCTTTGTGGCAGCCTCCCAAAGCAGCAGGCATTGTGTTAAGATGCCCCAAATTAAGCTGATTAAAAGGGAAGCTATAATGCTAGTCTGTCAGTCGGACAGGTGGCACTCCACTGCGCTGGAGGTCGGGCACCCCTCCAACTCCTCTGATGATGGCCCCCTCCCCGCACTGCTCTGGCCCCCATCCTCAGAGCCCTGACAGCAGCGGCTGTGATCTCCAGCTTGTTACTCAGCCCCCGACTTCCTCCACTTGCTGGCTCGAGCTCCCTGCCCTGCCCCCTCCACCGCCTCCATGAATGGGCCCACGGAACTCCAACCATTAGCCCTCAGCATAACTGCATCAATCCATTGTCACTACACACGCACTGCACTCAACAGGGGGACAAAGGGCTGAATGAGCCCCAGACCCGCGGCCAACTCAGGCAGAGACAACTTAGGAAACTATCTCATTCTTCCTTTCTTCACAGGCTGTTTGGCTCGTTTCCTTGCATACCAAATGAGGCTGACGAGAAATGAGGAGGGAGGCAGCCCCCAGCTCTAGCCCACCTCCTCCGCCCCAGTCAGCCTTCGTGCTTCCCAGAATCCCTGACCCTAGAAAGCCCACTGAAGATGGCAAGGGTCTCAGAGACGGCTTGAGATACAGCAAATCTTAAGCTAAGGGGGAACAGAAGAGATGCTAGGGACCCTACAGAACACTATTGGTTTTATAACTACTCATTGACAAGCAGTATCATAAAATGCCAAGATGACCCTAAAGGAGGAATATTCTAGAATCTACTCTGGGCAGTTCTTGAGAACATGGCGAGGAGTTCTGATGTAACCCAAGTAGAACAAGCCGTATGACTAGAGCTTGCATTTGTTCTTTTAAATATCTTCTAGAAACTTCCTGATATCTTTAGAGCATGGATGGAAGCCTCAATTCAATTCTTTTTTCCTTTCTGGAAATGTTGGAGATTGAATCCAGAGCCTTGCAAATGTTAGGCAAACATTCTACCACGGATCCTCATACCCGCCGTAATTCGATAAGTGTGTGATTGAGAGTGCAGATTAAATGGCTTGCACTAAGATAAGTCTTCTGACATATAGCTAATGTTTAATTGCATACATATAGACAGACAGGTAGATATTCCAAAAACCCTGAATGAATGAAAAGAGCCGCACTTGAGACCCCTCTACCTGCCCTTTGTCCTTCCCTCCTTCCTTCCTCCTTCCCTCCCTCTCTCCAGCCCGATGATTGCCAGAGGCTTGGGATAAAAAGCCAAGCTAGTTGGGTCTTATTCAAAAGGCCCTATAGCCAGCTTAACAGTGAGGTAAATGCCAAACCAAAGCGTGTTAACATTGTGGAGGAGACCAAAAAGGAACCCAATTCTGCAGGGGCCTGGGATGGTCGGTCCCTGCTCGCAAACTCACCCTTGGCAACAGAAGCCTAGGTGGGTGGACGTTCCCTGAGAGCCAGGGTGCCTTCCTGGCTAGCGTCTGTTTTTAGCAACTCTTAACTTCTTGCTGGAAGTAAAAAGTACCAAAAATACACCCTCTTAAACTTTCCTCCCTGTAACACTGTCAGTCTCCTCACTCAGATTTCTCTTTGGAATGAAGCCTTCCGGTTTATTTTGGCAACGAGATGGAAAAACAAAGACCCACTTTCTCAGAGCCGCGTGGGTCCCTGCAACCCCAGCTTTCTGCTGCCAGTGAGGCATGGAATGTAGTTCAGTGGTGGCAGACGAGTCAAGAGGACCTACTTTCAAACCTTGATCTCAGACCATCCATGAGATATCTCTCAAAGTAAGAGCAGAACTGGTGGGTCTGAATAGATTGTAAAGAACAAGGCGAACTCAGGAACTCCGGTCAGCTATATGTCACAAGGGACAGCCCAATACATTTCACGGGGGTGGTCCAGGATGTTTCATATGTATTTGTATACATATATCCACATATATGTATACATAATGCATATATGTATATATCCATGTGTATACATATCCATATATGTATATGTGGATAAGATATTGTGAGATAAAATTAACCATTTTTAGTGGATTGCAGTGCTATGCACATTAACACTGTGTGTTATGCCCAGGATGCTCCGTCTACAGTCTACATGCATTTACCATTGACTTCCCTTTCTCTCCTCCTCCCATGTCCTGGGAACCTCAATTACACTTTCTGTTTCTGTGTATTTGATCTCTCCGGCTGCTGCATATATAACCTGTGTCTGGCTTATCTTACTTAGCACAATGGCTTAAGCTTCCGTAACCCCTTGGTGACGTTTCTTCTGAAAGGCTATACAACATTCCATTACTCAGTCATATCACATTTTGCTTCTCTAGTCCCAGGACATGTTTTACAAAGTGCTCAAACTACAATCAGCTTCATGTGTTCTTTCATTTAAAGAAATGTCCTGCCTCATTTAAAGTTCAGTACATGTTAGCATTTGTTAATCCAGGATCTTGTGAAGATGCTCCATGCTTTACTTTTCTTTTTAAAATTTTGATTAGTCTATTTTACATGTGTCAGAGTTTTGCCTGCATATGTGTCTATGCGCCACATGTGTGAGTTACAAGTCCTTGTGAGCTGTCACGTGGGAGCTGGGAATCAAATCCGGGTGCCCTAGAAGAGCAGTCAGTGCGCTTAACCATTAGATCATCTCAGCCCTACTTCATGTTTGTTGATTAATCCCCATGTTATCCCAGCATGGTGCCTAGGGACTTGGCCTCGCCCATTTCCACTTTCTAATGCAGCAGTCTGCAACAACTGGGCATTCTGAGTGCTTCCAGAAATCAATGGGGAGGAGTGATCCAAACACACCACTTCTTCATTCACAAAATGGTGAACAGAGGTCATGAAAGCAGAACTCTCCCTCCAAACACCAGTGCATTCACTCTGGAACTGAGCTCTTCAGAGAGCACGTGCTGATGGAGGGAAGGACATACGGCCCCTGGGAAGCTGCAGGCACACCATACCTTTCCACTGAAAACAATTCTGGGAAGCAGATGAGTGAGCTTCGGTGGGGGAGGGGGAAGGGGGCAATGGCATGCGTGGACCTTACCGAGGCACCAGTCATTTACCTGGATAGGTGAGGTTGATTTTGTTAGTTCCTATATGTCCATGCTTGGATTTTAATACTGCAGAGTCTATTCTTGGGCCCACTGTGAGAATCAAGCAGGGACCTGCACCCCAAATTAAGACAAAACACTGGCTCCTTGCAGAAATGAAGTACCATGGACAGTGGGATGGCTCAGTGGGTAATGTTACCTACCACCAAGCTTGCTGACCCAAGTTCAATTCCCAGGACCCACAAGGAAGAGCCAACTGCCATTGCAGGTTGTTCTAGGACCTCCACATGCAAGTTGTGGCATGCGTTACACACACACACACACACACACACACACACACACACACACACACACACGCACGCACGCACGCACGCACACATGCACAGGTAATTGAAAATTTTCTTAAAAGAAATAAAATACTGAATCAACAGCTGTAGCTGATGAGAGCCCAGTTCTATTTATCTCGGCCTGGCAGCAGACTGAGAGGGGAAGGTGGCATCTCTAGCATGAATGACAGACTGGGGTGTAGTCATGTAAATCAGGGCACAGACAGACAGTCTCAGTGGTAGACCACACGAGCAGTTTCTGTCCCTATGTAACAGTAAAGACTGGGGCAAAGGAGAGGAAGGCACAGCCTGGGGCCCTGCTGGGGACGTCAGCCAATCAGAGCAGGCCCATAACTATTGAAAAAAAAACGTGGTGACACCCGAGGGTCTAACTGTTATCATGGGCATTTTGTGTGGGTGAGTTCAGAAGTTGAAGAAAGGCTTGTTTGCAATCAGCTAGCATCCTATCTATGAAGAGATCCTTAACATTAGGGAAAGGAAAGAAGGGTGACACTCTACACACAGACACAGACACACACACACACACACAGACACACACACACACAGACACAGACACAGACAGACAGACACACACACACACACACACACTCGAGCATGCATGCACACATTTCCCCTGGAGAATTAGAGATGTGTTCTTCACACTGTGCTGGGTAGGAGATGGGGCGTTTTACAATCTATATTTTGAAGCCCTTGCTGAGAAGCAGACATTTTAGCACCAACATTTAACATAGCCCATGAAAAAAACTGGTTGAGGGGCGAGCCCAGGCTTAGTTCTATCAAGCTCTTCAAGGCCCGCCACCTCTCTGAGCTAGTGGTCAGGGCCAAATACAGGTAAATTGATGAATGGCCTTAGTTCCCTGAGTCTGAATAGCCACTGCTTAGCATACTTGGGGGAGACACCAGTCACAGGCATGTGTATCACATGACATGACCCTTGAACCCAGTAAATTCCTTCACAGGGCACTCTCATTCCCGAGCCTCTCCATGGTGAAGCACCAGGACCTGAGATATAGCAATACCCTTCTCTCTGCTTGGCCTTTCAACCAAATGCCTTTTGCAAATACCAAGTTCCCAGGAGCCACAGCGGTGAATTGTCTCCAGGCTGGAGTCAGAGCCCAGAGGCATTAAGTGGCAGCTCTGCTACTACCTGTTCCGCCTCTAGGTTGTGTCCCTTACCCTCTCTGCTGCCTAGGGAAATGCAGGAAACTCTATCTGGGCTCTGCGAGCCATCACAGATGGAACCCTCTCCAACTGTTACGTCCTGGCCAGTGAAATCAGGACCTATGGAATCCTGGTCTGTCTCAAAACCTCTCTTGTTTTAAGAACTCTGAATCCTGGCAGCTGGCAGCAGACTTGGGGCCATCCACACAGAATGGAAAAAGTCTACAGCTAATAATAGTTTCATGTATTGTACTTGATCTTTGGGTGCCTTGTCATCCATCACAACTTTGATCAAAAGGCGAGTCTCAGACAGGATGGTGGAAAGCCTGGCATCATACACACAAGGCCACCTCTTGAGTCTGTGCCCTCCACTGCAGTCACTGCCCAGCCTTAGCTGTCCCCTCTTTCAGCCCGGCCGCCTCAGAGCGGCGTAGCAGAACTGGAGGCTCTCCATGGCAGAGCAGAGGGCTGACAACGTGTACATAAATGGACATGAACCCCACACCACAGAGGAAAACCAGTCAACGGCCCTCCCCCACCCATCAGCCTGTATTTTAAGACACACACAGGCTTTCAAACCCACAAGAGGAAGCAGGAGGCATTGGTGCACACCTGTAATCGCAGCTACCAGGGAGACAGAGCCAGGAAAATCACAAGTTCAAGGCCATCCTGGGAAACTTTGTGAGATTGTCTCTCAATAAAATTTAGAAAAGAGATAACGTCACTCAGTGGTAGTGATGCCTGGCATGAGCAGAGCCCAGCCCCCAGTCAGTAAGAAGCGCACCTTGGTGGGGAGGCATCACTCTGCTGGAGCTTACACCACCTTAAAAACTGATCTTCAAAGTCAAATACCAAGGGCAGGATAAAACACCTTTGATCCACCATCATAAACAAACCACCTTTTCTGGAAGGTGAGGAGAGGCATCTGGTTTCAGCCACGGGGGCCGGTACCTACCACATCAGTGTGGGTGATCTTGGCCAGCAGTTCGGTCAGCGCATCACACGTGAGTGTATTCTCTTCTTCATCCTGCTGAAGCCCACAGATGGCTGCTCCCACACTTCCGGTTGCAATCATTGATGGTGGGTACATGGCAAACTTGAAGTCTGTAAAGACAGAGAGGCTGAGAGTTAAGCCCAGAAGCAAAATGGGGCCCAGAGCTTGCCAGCCTGCAGATGCTCACATATCAGAAGGTGTGGGAAGGCCCTAGGGTCCCTGGCGCCACAGCCACTCTGCCCCTCGACAGGAAGCTCTTTTGCCAACTATTGGTATTCTCAGTCTTGAAAGAGACAGAGGCAAGTGAGGGAGGGCAGTTGTCTGAGTGCACATAGCAAGTCACCAAAGGCTCCGGGTCCTGAGTAGCCTAGGCCCGGCAATTATTCAAGAAGTCAATACACGCCAGGTACCTTGTTCTTTGCCTTGGGTGATGGTGGAATATCGAGTCAAGGGGGCATGCAATTGTTCAGGTCAGTACTCTACCTACCCTACCGGTGGGATAACTGTGGCCTTTCAATGTTTGAAGGAGGGAGGAAAAAGTACAAGGAGATGGGGGGTCATGAGAACTTTTATGAAGATGATACCCCCAGCAGATTCTTGCCCTAGTCTCTGGCTAAGTATAAAGAAACGCTACGGAGGGGATGGAGAGTTACTCAGTTTATTGAGCCCACAGAGGACCCAGGTTCGACTTCAGCACCCACACGAACCACCTGCAGCTCCAGTCCCGAGGGATCTGATGTCCTCTTCTGACCTCCACAGGCACCAGGCATGTGCAAGGTGCACACACATACATACATGCAGGCAGAATACCCTAGGTGTGTGTGTGCGTGTTCACACATGTGCGCATGTAAGCTAAATACAGAAGCAGTAATGTAGGAGATGAGGTGAATTGGCTCAAATTCACTTAATTCTCAACTCCTAACCCTATGTTAAGGATCTTCAGAACATTAGGACAGAGATCAAATACCAAAGACTAACATTGCTTTCCACTCATACTCTTATTTTCTAAGAGTATCGAGAGAGGAGTTACCTTAGGTAGTAAGGGCAACTCGGGAGCCTGAATTTATTTCCTACTAAGTGATTCTCCAAGGGGCTTCAGGACTATGACCCAGTAACTGCTGGGCCTGTCAGCTGCTAACATATGTGCACTGACTGTGATGTCTAACATATTCTATCCGTGTTATGCATGGAAGTGTGGAGATACCTTGTTTGTACGAATAAAGCCTGTCTGACGATCAGAGGGTGGGGCCTGCAGTTAGCTAACTATAGAGACCTGGCAACGGTGGTGCCCGCCTTCAATCCAAGCACTAGGGAGGTGGAGACAGGAAGTAAGAGAAGGCAGAGAAAGGAATGTGGGTGGGAGGAAACAGAAACTTGCTCTCTTTTCAGCTGGGAAATTGAGTAGGTAAAGTGGCTGACGTTTTGCTCTCTGATCTCTCAGCATTTCCCCCTACATCTGACTCTGGGCTTTTATTATTAAGACCCTGTTACATGGAAGGGAACCTGGGAATTGTCAAGCTGTTCTAGCCCTCGCCCCTGCCTTGGGCTCACAAACTAAAGAGGTGACTGTCATCATTCAGTCTAGTGGCAGTTGTGAAATGGGGCTCACTTTCCAGTGTATGATGTCCAGTTGTTGCAAATCACCAGCAAATCCAGTGGGCACAGAAGACAGAGCATAAGGGACAGATGAGTCACACTTCAGATCGTAATGAGGCCACTGTGCTGAACACAGGAGCTCAGAGCAACGTAGGCTCTTCCCTTCTCCGAATGCACGGCCTCTTCCAGCAGTGTGTCACTGGGAAGCCTTTCCAACGAGAGCACAGTGCCTCAGCAATGAATCTCTACTGTTCCTGGACACTCCACAGACCAGGGAACCCCGCATGCTTCCCCTCCCACCTGGGCTCAAGCCCAGGAACACAGGGTAGGCCTGGCCGTCTGTCTGTCTCTCTCCTTGGCTTTTGTCCCTTCACCATTTTCACCTTGAGGGCCGTATATTATGGGGTTTCACTCCACTCCTGCTAGTCACCAACCCCTGCCTATCTTCTTTATCTGCCTAACTGGTGTGACGAAGCCAACCTCCTTGCCTTTAGCTCTGCTGTAGGTCTCTCCCATATGGGCCACAGGGGACTGTTTCTCTGTCCAATAACCCTGTTAGCGCCCCTTTGTGACATTCATAGCGCAGAAGAGGCAGCCAGCCCATGGCCCCAGGCCCATAGAGGCCCTGGGTGAGAGCACCTGGCAGTGACAGGGGCAGGGAATTGTTCCCAATGTTCCCTTTCTTGTGTGCAGGCTCCAGATCAGGAGGCATGCATAGCAGCCCTGTAGAACTTTCTAGTCACACTGCTAACAAAACCAACTCAAGGTTAGTGGGGGGAGTCACAAGGGATATGTGGCTTGACCTGGAGTGCAGGTACAAGACCTTTATGGGGGGAAACTCAATCTTTTCCCTTTCCCTAAGAAAGTTCTGAGGAGTCCTCCTTGGGCAGAGTCTGACCGACTATAGTGAGCTCCAACACACACGACTTAGCCGCCTTCCAGCCCCAGTGGAAAAACAGGTGCTCCTAAGAAGCACAGTTCCCGGTGTCTGGGTAGCTAATTTGTTCCACAGCAGTACACCAAGTATGGTGCACTATGCTTGGCTTCATATATCTTCAGAAGAAGCTTCTCTGACGTAAGAGCGGTAGTGGTGGCATACACCTTTATTCTCCGCACTTAAGAAAAGAGGTGGAATTCAAAGTTCAAGGCCAGCCTGATCTACAGAACAAGTTCCAGGACAGCCAGGGCTACCAAGAGAAACCCCGTCTTGAAAAAAAAAAGGTTGAAGTATTAATTTGCCTTCTTCAGAGTGCTATCGTGAGGATTAACTGTGATAGCCTATGCTGCTCACCCACAAATAGAAGCTGGCTCAGGGTAAACTGCAATTGACAGATGTCAGTCCCCCTCGCCCCTAACCCTCCCCCTCTACTCCTCGAACCAGTGGGACTGCCTATGAGACTGTTAAGCCAGTAGTTATCCTTCTGTGGGTCCACGTATATTTGATGTGATTCACCTAGAGCTCAGAAGCAACACCCATGTGGGGAGTCCCAGGCCTCTCCCCCTCCCTCCTGGTGGGAGGGAGGAGGCAAAGGACACATTCCAGGTGAACTGAAATCTTGGGGTGTCAACTGATTTGTTCCTTGTCACTCACTCAGGAGGGGTGCTGGGCATCTGACTAGGGACACCTCTGTACCCCGATCCAGTCTGGGTTTAACAGGTCTCAAAGTTACCTCCTACACCATGAAATAAAGACTGAAGAAGGGTTCTTGCTCAGAAACCCAGCTATATGGGCCACAGACTTGTCCACCACCTCTGCAGTGTCAGTTGGGGACTGTGGTACTAAATCCCACGGTTGCCATAGTAGCAGCTGGGTGTCTGGATTGGCTCCCGAATCTGGGCAAGGATCAGGAGAAACACTCCATATCCAGCAATGTGGAATCTGCACTTTCTGATGAGATTCCACGGGCCAAACTGTTCTCTGCTAATGGAGTTTAAATCTGGGATGCTGTGTGTGGTCCTGCTCACAGGGCTTAACACTGAGTAAAATTAGGAGCGAGCCTGAGTAGCGCTGGCTAACAGAGCCTCCCAGGGGCTGCTTTACTCTTGTTCGCCACTAGAGGGGGTGTTTGTTTTGAGGCTGAAGGAACCAGCAAATACCAGAAAATAAGTCTGTTTTCTGTTTCTTCCTCTTCCTCAACCTGTAGTGAGGGAGGTACAAATTTGGCGCAAGGGCAATAACTGCTTCTGAGGAATGAACTTGGGTGGGAAGAGAGGGCCGCTGTGACTGGACAAGAGCGTCCATTCATCTCGTGGCCAGAGAGGATGTGAGATAGCCAGTATCACTCGCAGAACTGCAGTTCGGTGCTACTTCCTCCTCTCAGCCCCATGACTGCCCTCTGGGGGCAGTTCAGAGGGCCCCCCGGGTGGAAATGTGGGTTTCGTTCTTCCTTCCTGGCCACCAGAGTGGCTTGGATTACAATTCTAGAACAAGAGTCAAGTCCCCAGACTTTTCAGGGCCACCAGTCTGGCTACAACTCAGGGCTGGGAGCCAATGAACACCTCTAAGGGAAGACTGGGTAAAGAGGAGGACTCCACCTTGAGGTGGAGGTGGGGGCCACAGGCAATCAGGACAGCAGACACAGGCGGGCCCAGTGCAAAAAGAGGTGTCTGCGGGGTGTCTGGGGGTACCTGTACCAAGTTTAAACTCAGTGCCACTGTAGTCACGTGCTAAGCATGATGAGGTCACTGGTACCCAGGTGAGATGTTGGTCATCTCAGGAGGGCCTTCTTATCCTTTCCTGATCTGGAGACTCAGGTGCAGGAGAGCTGAGCCCACTTCTGCCTTCCCTGGAGCCCCAAATTCTGGTCAGGAGCAAGAGTTATGAAGACCTCCCACCGCACTCAAACTCCTCCACCACAGAGGCCAACTGGGAGAGCCCTACCAGGTAGTCTCAGGCCACCTCTCTCACAGAAGCCACTATAAGCTGAACAAGGAAGGCCCTGCCACCAACCTTAACCCAGAGTCCCATAAAGGCCGACTGCTGGTCAGCCACTTCTCCCTCCCTCGGCAAGCTCTCTTCCCCTTTCACACACACATACGCTCAGCACACCCCCTCAGGGCCACAGCCAGCAGCTCTTTCACAATTGCCTTTTCCCATAAACTAGCAACACCGCCCCAGGGCTGGCTACCTACCATCTCTTCAGGGACTGCCTGCCCCTTCCCTTGCCAGTGCGAACCCCCAAGGCCCTGGCTGCAAGCCTTCCTCAGCTCCAGAGTAGAATATCCAGGTAGCTGAGGCTGTGGGGTGGGGGGAGGGAGGGTAGGGCAGGAGGAGCACCAGGTGTGAGGAAGGGTCAGGCCCTAAGATCAGGCTTACCCTTTCCACACCCAGGAGGCCTGAGGCTTAGTACTTGGAATATGGTGCCAACCTGACTGGAGGTACACTCTCCCCTATACTTCCCACTCCTTGGCTAAAGATAGGCCGAGGCCCCCAAAAGGCAGCCTTTCTGACTGCCTCCGCCTCCCAGGGGGCCTCTGTCCTCAGGCCCTGGATCCCAGGCTCCCCCGTTTTGGCCCCAAAATTGGCAGCTGCCCCAAAGATCTGGACAGGGTGGCCAAGAGTGGGGGATGGGATCCCCACTAATAGAGAATGGGCCTGCGGTCTATACAGGATTGGGGGAATCTATCTGAGCCCACTCACCCCAGTGCAAGATCAGAGAGAAAGAAGTGGTAAACAGACCCCCAAAGACCGGTTAGTCAAATACAAGGTCAAAGCAGGACTCCGCCATTGGCAGCTGGGGTCAAAGATAAAACTGTTTCACCCCTCTGCCTCACAGAATCATGGCAAGAGAGGGAAGGGACAGAGCTCCCAGGAGACAAAAGGGCCTGTTTCAGTGGGACTGACCTCTAGAACCCAGGCCAGTCAGCAAGTAAAGAGCAGGGAGCAGGAGGCCTGCTGTCCAAAGGGTAGCCAAGACTGGGCCCTCTGTGGGCACCCCCACACTGATGGAATTCCACAAGGAGCTGGGACACGTATGCCATAAGGCCTGGGTCCCCAAGGGCTGGACCAAACCAGGGCAGGAAACCTGCGCACACACACACACACACACACACACACACACACACACACGCACGCACGCGCACACACACACGCGCGCGCACACACACACACACACACACACGCACGCGCGCACACACACACACGCACACGCACACACACACACACACACACACACCCCTAAAACTGGGAGGTGGAATCCCACAAACAAGCCAGTCAGAGCCTGTGTCCTATAGCAGGAAAAGTCGTTTTGTCCACCTTGGGTGGAGAAGTTCAAGTCTCAGACTGGGGCTCCCCACCAGAGTCCTTTCACAATTAGTACAGCATCTCATAGCAAAGCACCGGGCATGTCTTGCTGTGGCTTTTAGTTTTCCTATGCAGCTGCAAAGGCTAGAGAAATGATGTATCCAAAGGCTTGTTTTGCAGATGGAGTTGAACTTCAGAGAGGTAAAACTGGCCTGTGCAAGGTCACTCAGTGATAAGTAGCAAAGTCGTCTGACCTTTTAACTTCGAACACTGACCTTTTAACTTGGACGAAGCACAGACCCTATTGTCCAATACACAAACAGTTATGCAAACACATAATTAACGTGTTACAAAGAATTACAATGTTACATGCCTCCCAGACTCCCCACCACACCTGCACAGTCCAGCAAACCGTTGACGTGAGACACACCCCACTCAGTTGCTTTACCTTCTGACCCTGAGGAGATGAACTCTTGACACATCTCCCCTGGACACCCAAGCTTCTAGGGCAGAGGTTCTCATCCTTCCTAATGCTACGACCCTTTAATACAGTTCCTCATGTTGTGGGAACCCCCAACCATAAAATTATTTCGTTGTTACTCCCAAACTGTAATTTTGCTACTTTTATGAATTATAACACGGATATCTGATATGCAGGATATCTGATGTGACCCCTGTGGGGGTCAAGACCCACGGATTGAGAAACACAGTTCTAGGGTCTTCTACCCTGGTGTGGGCCAGTAACAGCTATGGATCAAAATATTTTTCCAGAGCTTAGAAACCAATCTTTGCTCAAAGGGTTACTCTCCCATCAGCAGGGAGCAGCCAGAAGGTAATAAAGGGACTACAGTGAAAGGAATTCTTTCCCACATATCAGGGCGGGCTGCATATTTATCTTGTCGTTGTTCCTTTAACCTATATTTGCCCCCACCTTCCTTAAATTCCCTCTTGGGCTTATCTCCAAGCTGTGCTTTTCCTCAAAAGATTAAAGATTTGAACCCAACCAGTGAGCAGCAGATATAATCTTCAAAGAGCACTTTAGACATCATAAACAATATTTTAGCAGGCACTAATTTCTTTTCCCTTACCACACCTGTCCCCCCATAAAGTATTTATGAGTGAAGCAGAGAAAGAAAATACTCCAGTTTCCGATAAAGAGCCACGAACAAGCCAGAAACGAAACTCCAGACTGGCTCACTCAGGCCCCCTCGCCTAGACAGCCACAGGGGCAGAGAAGTTGGTCCCACTTCCTCCGGACCGGTCCCTAGGGCAAGCCCGCGAGCCCCCTCTCACCGGTAGCACACAGCGCGATGAAGGTCTGCGCATGCTTGCGAATCAGGGACAGCTTCTCCTTCTGCTGGGGCAGCTTGCGCAGGATATGCTCAATGAAGTCGTGAGGGGTGACTGCAGCCAGGTTCCACTTCAGTTTGCCCAGCACGACCAGCTCCCACTCCTGCAAAGGGCGGGAGGAGAGGGCAGAGCACTCAGAACCCACAGGCTGACTCCAGGCTTGGGCTGGGGGCTGGGTTCCAGACCAGCTTTAATGATGCTCATTAAAGCTCAGCTGTCAGATCCTGATCACTCACGGGAGGGGGGGGGGACTCATTTGTCACCGTGCCCCTCACGCTTTGAAGTGGCTGACAGCTCTTCTTGTGCCGAAAATGTCAGGCCCCGCTGAGGATAATGAGAGGCCAGGTAACCACTGCCAAGATCTGACTTTCTTCTGGTTTTCTTCCTATCCCCACCCACAGGACCCCAATGACCACAAAATGCTGTTGCTTGCCCACCCAGAAAGTTGGACCTATAGCGAGATCTATCTAGTCAAGGTCATTGTGGCACTGTGGCGATAATTTACTGGATCCGTCTCTATCATAGGACTAATGGGCGGGGAAAAAAAAAGATGCTTGGAGATACGGAACAAAATAAGCTTCCTTGGCTCAACTCATTGGCAACCAATTAGCTGGCCTTTCCTTGTGGGAGAAAGTATTGTTTTCCCTCTGTTGCTGACACTTTCCCCTTTGACACACCATGCAGAAGTCTTGGGGAAATGACACTTAGCCCTTTCCCCCACCTCTTCACTGGCCTTTGTACTCGAGTGGCAGATAGAGCAGTCTGAGGCCTGGCAGGGGTGCTTAAACAGGGTCCCGAAACCCTTTCAGAGCAAACTTTCTTTTACGGACCTCTCAAAGCAGTGCCGCTAGTAAACAACCTGTGTCTGTCCTTTTGGGAAAGAATATGGGAAATCAGGCTCAGATGAACTGGACTAAATAAAATCAAACCGTAGGAATCTATATACCTGAGGAGTGCATGCCAGGGATTCCACCTCTCCAAGGCGGAAGGAAAGTTCCAGGCAAGCTTGAATTATGTAAGGCCTTGTTTCTTTTGTTTTGCCTTTCTTGTTTTCTGAACACGGGGTGCATTAAAAAAGATGTTGTCTCCCACCAATCAGCCTTCAGAAACACAAGAGGCAGATCCTGCCTGACTGGCCATGGCTTGACTCTGGAACCCCCCCCCCCCCCCCAGTCTTCTGCTAAGCTCAGGGGCAGGCTACAAAGCACTAACTAGCTATGGTGTGTCCTAGAGCGAGCTCTTTCCATCCATAATAGGAGGGCTCTTCCAGACCCTGGATAGGAGGTGGAAAGTTGGCGTACTTTATTCAGAGAGAATTAAGTTAGCTTCGCTGGTCCTGGAAAAGTTAGGGTGCTTAAAAGTACAAATCCTCAGCACATCAGCCACATTGAAGATTTTTTAAATGTGTTTTGGGAGATAAACAAGCGGGCCTCTAACTCTAATCTGGTTTTTTGTTGTTTCTTTTTCTTTCTTTCTTTCTTTTTTTTTAATTCATAAGCCTTCAAGTCTGGCCTGGCTTTTTGCAGAAAGTTGGGATGAAACCCTGCTTGATTAGAAAAAAACCAGAGGTGGCTTGAATCCCAGCCCTTACTTCTCCTAGGGCAATGTGAGCGCAAACTATGTGAGCGCAAACTCGTCCGCTGGCATCATTATTAAGAGAAGTAGATCTTCCAGAAGAAAGCACCTTTAGGGGCCTCTCAGACCAAACCAGAAGCAGCTGAAATCTGGCAGTGGTTCAAAGGTGAAGTCATTCATGCCCCTCTCGGCATTCTCCGCAAGTCCTCCCCCAACCTTGCACATGTCTGCCACTAGGTGGCAGCACAAGCCCAGGAAGGGGGCTCCTCACAAAGGGCTCAGTTCAAGAAGCCAGTCTTAGCCTTGGAGATTTTGTGTAGGCCAGGGCTGTGCCAGCAAGGGGGGAGGAAGCCGGCAGAGGGGGTGGTCCTCTCCTACCAGTGCAAGAGAAAGGTGTGCAAACTACTGAAGGTGGCCCCAGAAGCTGCAGAAGAGTTGAAGGTTTCTGATGTGTAGCTGCTCTACGAAGGAACACTGCGGGGGGGACGGGATGGGACATATGGCGGGAAAGCCTTTTTAGCGGAAAATGAGAGCCAAGACAGGACCCTCTGGTAACTGTATCCAGGTCACAGTCTCTTCTAGAGCTAAGAATTCATACTTCCGATCCCACCAATAGAAGGCCAAATGTTGTCTTCCCATAAAAGTTGATATGTCAATACTTAGTATGTTGATATTATGAGACTTTATTGATGTATAAGACATTACCTGTGACACCTCCAGGCTCTTAGGAGACACAACCCGGCTAGCATGTGAGAAATCAGGCTGTGTTCTCGAGGTTCAGTGGAAATGTAGATCTTAATTAAAAATCACTAACTAAAATATTCTATACCGCCCCCCCACACACACACTTGAACTGTCTTCAACTGGATTTTACCCTCACAAACTTCCATGAGAGACTGAGAACTTTGTTCATTCCCTGACATGAGAAGACACCTGCTTAGTGTGAAGGCTGCAGTGGTCCTGGGAAATCCTGAATCCTACAGTCGCCCTGGGGCTGCTGGCTGGAAGACATTGTGATGGGAGAGGGCAGAGTCGGGCAGGGAGGGCAGCATTACCAGCAGCTCCTGGGGCTTCACGGAGTTGTCAGTGTAAATACACAGCTTCTCGGCTGTCAGCGGGATGGTCTCTTTGAGCTTAGAGGCCAGGAACATGCACACTGCACCCAGGAGCTGAAGGTGGGTCTTAGGAGTCGGGACTCCAGCCAAGAAACGGTCCAGATAATTCATGGCCAAAGGAAAGACTTCCTCTTCACACTTCTGTTCCTCGCAGACCTACATCCAGAGTGGGGCAGGGTCGGAGAAGACAGTGAAAAAATAGCATCAGAAACATTTTGAAAAGAATGAAAACATATAACCCGTGGCGACCAAAAAAAAAAAAAAGAATTAAAAAAAATTTTTGAGGAGAGGGGGAGGGGAACAGAAAGGGCAATAAGAACAGGGTGACAACACTGAGGTAAATCGGAAGAGCCCTTGGGGCTCGGATATTTCCCCAGAGCTGAAAAGGGGTGGCGAACTAAAGCCCCCAACCCCCCAGCCCAAGGCAAAGCCCAGAGCAGCAGCCGCCCGCCCGCCGCTCCCTCTGGCTCCTCACTTCTCTCTCTAACTCACTCACTCTCTTTTTTGGATTTCGTCATCTTTTCAAAAAATCAATAAAAATATTCTGGAAGCTCCAAGGGTCTACTTTTTGGTCTCATTCGGATCCCCAGACCCTATTCTATCATTCCCGACAATTGAAAAAAATGTTCAGGGTGGTCTCGGTCGCCCAGGGGCCGCTGTTGAGGGGGTGGGTGGAGAAGAGAGGGGGAGGGAGGAGGAGGAAGCGCGCCGCTGCCGCCGCAGCTGGAGCCGGAGCAGGGGGGACCGCTTCAAAAAAAATTATTAAAAATCGAGGAAAAAGCCTAGAAGCGTCCTTTGGGCCTGAAAACCCCAGAGAGGCTCCAGGCTCTCCGGAACAGAGGTTTTGGGTGTCATTAAGGTCGGTATCTCTTTCCCAGGGACTCTGGATCCCGATGGGGAAACTTGCGGAGTGTCCGGCCGCGGCCCACAAGGGCAGTAGCTAAGAAGGCTGTACCCAGCTGGGAGCTGAGGGAGACGGAATCAGGGAACCCCTCTCAAGGAGGCACGCGGGACTCTGATCTCTCCTTTGGGGGTGTCCCTAGCTCGCTCTACACACACCTCCTCCCTCGTTTCCTACCCCACCCAAATCTGCGCGCTGAAGAAGCAGTCAAACTGTAAGTAACCTTGGTGAACTGGGGGCTGGGAGAGAGGGCACGATCAGAAAAAGGGTGGCCACGATCATGGGGTGCTTGGGGGAGCCGGCGAATGTTCCCAGTCCTAGCAATTGGAGTTTGCAAAGCAACATGGCGAAACCACGGCAGGTCCAGAGCCGTGCATACGTGGGCACCCTGCTCTCTCCGCAAATACTGCAAGGCTAAAGCAGCAGCGGTTCTTTCAGATTCCCTAAAACGCACGCTTTTTTCCAGTGTGACTTCCGGGGCTCTCCTGAATCCCGTTTCTCTCCCCCCTTCTCCCCCACCAAAGTGCCAACGCGGAGTCCCAACCACACGCAGGGGACCGGAGGCCAGGATGGCTTTGCCCCAGCCTTGCGGGGGGGGGCATCTGTCTTTCACTGTTGGTGTGGATTTTCACGTCCCCACACCTTCGGGAGTCTCACAGAAAGCAGCGATTCCACAAAACAGGTCAGGATGGGGATAGGGGGACGAGGGAGCCACATGCAGACACACGCGCGCGGGATGCCACCCCCCCCCCGCTCCCGGACTCCTCACCCACGTTTTCCTCCCCCACTTAATCTATATCGTTCAAGGGTGCGGGTGCCCAGGTAGGCCAGCGCAGGGGTAGTCCTCTCACAGTTTTAGCGTCCCTATGTGTTGGGGGGGTAAAGCGGATAGGACTGTCTCTTCTTTAGAGTGTCACCAGCGCACCCACCTCTAGCATCCAGGTGGCCACCATCCTGCGCATGTACGGCTGAATGTCCTTCTGCACGCACTTGAAATAGGAGCACTGCGGGAGGTAGCGCTCCTCGATGGTCAGCAGGTTCTGCAGGACGCGGTCTTCCAGCAGGTTGCGGTCCGGCACAGCCCTGCGGACCGGCTCCACCTCGCAGCACAGCAGCTCCATGGCCAGTCGGCGACCACTCGTCACGACTGTTAAAGTTGTATTAGTTTTTGGAGGGGGGGGAAGCTCCCCTTACCTCCTTCCTTTGGCTAAATAGGAGATTTGAGAGAGAAAAGTTGGAGAGAGAGAGAGAGAGAGAGAGAGAGAGAGAGAGAGAGAGAGAGAGAGAGAGAGAGAGAGAGAGAGAGAGAGAGAGCTTGAGAGGAGGAGGACGAGTGGAAGGAAGGTGGGCGAGCACAGCCTCAAGGGCTGCCCGACTCGCACCGGTCCTTCCCTCGGAACTGCCTTGCTCTCCCCAGCTCGCTCTCCTCACTCTGAGGCAGTGACGCAAGCTGGCAGGGCAGTTAGATCTCCTCCCCCTCTCCGGTTCCTCCTCCCCTTTCCTCCTCTCCCCTGGCGTCCCTCCCCTCCTTTCAATTTCTCCCTCCCTCTTTCCCTTCCCTCCCTCCCCCTTTCCCTCTTGTTATTAAGGAGCACAGCAGCTGGCCCGACCAAACTTCAAACACGATCCCCCGCCCGCTCCCCCCCCCCAGTTCTCTAAGGCCCTCTCTCTCTATCCAGGCCCGCATGCTAGGGGCCCCGGATAGGGGAACCCACAGAACCCACGGATTCCTATTGATTCTCTATCCTTTCTAACGTTCTGTAGCCATGGGGGGGGGGGGGGCTCTGACTTAGGCGGCTTGCAATGTGATCGGAATAAGTGCCCACTATTCACGATCCAGAGGTAGAAGGTAGATTGATTGGACATGTGGATGAACTCAGACAACTTCGAAGCAGATCCCTTTAACTGAAGAAAGAGGGAAGGCTTATTTGAGAAAATTGCAACCTTGCATACCCAGGGGTAAAGGTTATAACGCCCCTGAATCTTAGGCTCCTGATAACTTTTCGAGCTTTTTCCTGGCCCGGAACCACGTCTGTGGAGAGGAAGAGAAGGAAGGAGTGGATGCTGAAAGGAGGGGGCTGCTTCTCGGGCCTGGTAGAATATAACCCTCGTGCAAAAATCCTCGTGTTCTTGGGGGCGCCATTGGGCAGCGCGGCCAGCCGCTGGTGCTGCTGCAGGCCAGGGGCAGGGCTAGCAGCTGGTCCTTCGCGGCCCTTGGCCACGCAGGAAAAAAACCACTTCCTCACCCCTGCATCTGCTCACAAGCCGCCCTAGGTGCCTGCGCTGAGCGTGGCCTACAGCTTTCTAGGAAATGGCTCGGGAGGGGCCGGGGGGGGGGAGGGAGGGCTTAAGTTTGGCTCTCCCAGCACCAGCCGGGCCTCCTTTCCCCGGAGCTTCCTGGGTCATGCACCCCTCAATCTCAGACCCCTCGGGAGCTCGCACCTCACTAGTCAGCCAGGACTTTGGATCGGCCCCGACATGTGCTCTAGCGCATCCTGTGGTCAAGGCTGTTTGTAGAAGGGACACGGTGGCGCTTCCTCACCTCCTTCCTCCTCCCAACATGCTTTTCAGCGTATTCCACTCGGGGGGGAAGGAGCAAGGACCCAGGGCCCCCGGTAGGGTGGCCACGCTGGCACGTGCAGTTAGCACGGCGTGGGTTGCGGCTCTCTGGGTACACCGAGGGCCACCGAGTCCCTCCTTCCCTGAGAGCGGAGGCCCGAGCTGGGGCGCCTACAGCTAGCGGAGGCTGGGGGTGGCGCGCTGGGGGAGCTGCGCCCGTGGGCTCCTAGAAAGGCCAGGGAGGGGAGGGGAAAGGGAGAACGCGAGAGAGGAGGGGGGCAATAAAGCCGAGGTGCAAGCGATTAACTCCGGGCTGGCCAGCCCCTTTAAACGAGGGTGGGGCGGAAGGGGTGGGCGGGCGGAGGGAATATCACTTTAAAAGGGTGAGTAAGAGTTTGGGGCTCCTTCTCCCCTCCCTCTATTTGCATAGCCAATAGCTCTGGGGCTCCTGCTACTGCGCGCTGATTGTTACCGGGCAGATTACTTTTTTTTTTTTTTTTTTTTTTTAGTAGGACGCCTTCCCCGCTACATCAAAAGGAAGCCCGGGGAGGGCGGAGAGAGAGCGGGGACCCGGGCGGGCTGGGACTGCGGAGGGGCCCGGGTGCCTCGTACCTTATCAATGGCAGCGAGAATTAGTATCCAATCTACTGCATGTAAAGAAAGGGGAGGGAAGGGGCGGGCGAGGAAAATGTCTAATTGCAGTGGAAGCCATTGGCTTTCGGGAAGAAAAAAAAAAAAAACCCTCATTGAAAAACCCAAGTTGCAAACTCAAAATGAAACAGTCCCGCGCTCATGATGACACTTGGCTAGTGCAAGGTCCGTCGCCTGTTAGTTTTAATCACAGGATTCCCGAATAGAGTATTTTTGGTGTCACCCTGGACAGACACGTGAATTTACGTTTTAAGACCCCATAAAGCAACGACTAAAAACTCCCCCCAGAGCCACCTCGGAGAAATGGATCTGACAGAACTCCTGGACAGGGGCGACATAGGTGTTTGGAGGTGTCGTCCACTCCGACGGAGGACTTCCATTCTCTCCACATCACTCGAAGGCTAGCTAGCCCTGCAGGGTCTGCTTTGCACCTCCAGTGAAGACAGCGTCGGGCGCTCGGGGGCGGAGAAGAGGCGGGTGGTCGTCGACGAGGCTCGCCCACCAGGAGGACAAAGTCTGGGTGGCGGGTCCTCCCGACTCCAGAGCCTGCGGAGGGCCCCTCGCCTCTTCCCTCCCCCACTCTTGGCTTTGCAGTGAAATTCCAGCGGGGAGGGGATCCCGGGGGTGGGAGAGGTGGCCCGCGGCGGAGAGGGCGGCGGAGGAGGGAAGGAGAGGGTCTCGGGATGGAGTCCCTAACGTCTGGAGACTGGAAAGTTAGAGTGCTTCCCTCTTGAGAGACTCTCCTTCAGCTCCAATTCTACCTCCCCCTCCAACTACTGAGGGTTCCCGAAGGTGAACCTCGCACCGAATCCGTCCCCAGCACGTGGGGTGCGGCGTGAGAGGGAGCAGAGGTTGGCAGCCTTTCTCTGAGAGGTTGGGAATGGAAAGTGCGTTCTCCCTTTCGGCCGCCACTCCGAACACGTGCTAAAAAAATTCTTAATTTCTTGGGTTTTTTTGTTTCATAAAAAGTGCTCCAGCCAGCACGCGGGAAAGGGCATGCCGCTGTAGGGGCAAACGTACTTTTTTTCTTGAATGTGGACTTGGGTATGCGAAAGAAGCCCCCGTGTGCTCTGCTGGGAGGGGGTGACATAAGAATAAGAGTTCTCCGCCCCTTCTTAACCCCTGAAGGTGGAGAGATCCTTCCCTAGGTAGGATCCCTGGCAAACCTGAACCAAATACGAGTTTTACTGGACTTTTAGTCCCTCCAGGACGTGCCCCCCCCCCGGCATCTAGCAGTTTCGGTTGGAAAGTGTACAAAGCCGGTAGGTGTAAGGTGCAGCAGGGTGTTGGGTGTTTATAGGCATATTTCTGCAGGAACCTGCCACCTAGGCACACATTCTAATAAGATCACCTGGCGGATGCCAGCCAGCCAGGTGATCCTGCGGTCGGCCACAAGCCAGGGAGTCCTTGGTTCGAATCCTGTCACCTCAATGTTCTGGGGGGGGGTCATCGCCTCCTCCCTGACTCCCCCAAAGAGTATATATATATATATATAATTTAACATGGGAGAGGGGGCGTGGGGAAGAGTCGGGACGTGAAGCCCGGGAAAGAGGGTGCAAGGTCCCAGGACTGGAGGTTCCCACACCAAGACCAAGTGGCTCCAGGTGTGAGAGCGTATCCAGGACCCTCTCCGACAGCAGACCCGATGAGCACAGCCACCAGCCCTGTGTGTTCCAGCGACCCTCGGGTGGGTTTCAGCGTGGACCCGGGTAGCGTTCTTGTGGCGTAACAAGAGCTGGGAGTGGGTTCAGAAAGCCAAGGCCTGCGGTTGGCTCACACACCTCGCACCTCTCCTTTGGAAGAAGAAGAAGAAGAAGAAGAAGAAGAAGAAAAAAACCCAAACTTCCCCGTCTTCCTGTCTGATTCAGCTTCAGGACACGCCTCACCCGGCCGAAAATAGCCCTGGAAACGCATTTGCTTTTTGAAAGTGAATTTGCTAGTAAGATCTAGGGTGGGGTGGCGTGGGGGCTTCGGGCCGGCGACGTCCGGGGTCCTGGTCCCTCCCCGGGACGCCCCCGGGAGGGGACAGCGGGGCGACGGAACCACGCCTCTGCTTGGGGAGCCACCACGCGGCTTTTTCGCGGAATTTTGACGTCACCCACATGTGGGGGAAGGGGCTGGGAGAGCGAGAGGAAACGGCGGGGGAGGGGGACTGTGCGGCCGGTAGCCTGGTGGCCGCCCAGCTGCTAACAGTGTCCCAGGTCCCTAAGCACCCGCCGGGTGCCGTGGTCAGAGTTGAGCCCTGACCGCAAAGCTCGACTCCCTGCTCCCAACCATCCGCCACTCCCAAAGGCTTCCCCCACCACCTTCCACACTTATATTTATTTATTTATTTATTTATTTATTTATTTATTTATTTATTTATTTATTATTTCTTACTTTGAAATCGAGACCCGCCCTTCGCTCCAGAAAAAGCTGGTTTCTTTGGTTTGCGGTCCAGCTCTTCTGGTCCCTGACATCCGACCGAATATCGCGACTGCTGGTGGCAAAGGTTAGCCCGGCGCTTCCTAAGCCTCTCTCCACCCGGGAAGATGATCTTGTGTCTTTCTGGTCCTTGGGAACAGAGTTCTGTGATTACTTTCACACGCGGGATTTTTCCACGCGCGACCGATTCCTCCCTGTCTCACTCCACATTCCATTTAAACATCCTCTGAATTGGTTACTACGACGGTGGCACACGGAAGTTCCTGGGGATGTATGGGAACGCTCACCCACGGGTTTTGCTGCACCCACAGCTAACCTATCTATAAACACTCCGGTGAGAAGCACAGAGAGATGAGCCAAAGTGCAGGGCCACTCCCCGCCCACTTGCTGGAGACCCACATGGCATCCGTACTGTGGAGAATCTTCTAGAGAGACTGCAGGGGGTAGAAAGCAGCAGGGTGAGCCCACGCACCTTCATTTCCCCTGAATTTGAGCATTTTTAAAAATCTTTCAGTTTAGAAGGACGAGTGCTAAAATGTGTCATTATCCTTTGAGCCCATGACAATTAGGATGAATTGATGCTCACATTCAAGGAGCTACAGTGGGGGTTTGGGGGTCAAAAACACCACCTGGCTCTGGCTTTCTCTTTTTCAACCTTATTGAGGTAAAGGGGCTTGTGGGAGGAGCCAAGGGCCTCTTTGAAATGGGCTTGATGTGGAATTATTTGTTTCACAAGTAGGGGAGTTTTCAGTTTGAATCAGAGGCGAAGTTTGGAAAAGTTTCTATTTTGAAGATGACAGAGACG